CCTGGTGACGGTGCACGGTCGAAGAAAACAGCAGAAATACCACGGTTATCCGTGACAAATTGACGGGGTACCTACGACAACGTGGACATTAGGTTTAGTCCATCGAAAGTAAAAAAGAAATCACATTGTGCTGTGCATGGAGGCCGCCAACAACAAATTTCGCGGCCTTGCGGTCAGAAAACGAACACGAAAACCCCAGACACAACGAAAAGGCACCGCTGTGTCATTCACTTCATTTTCTTCCAGTCACCGTACGCCCCTACAATACCCATCAATAGCAGCTCCACTCCTCACAATAGACTCTACTGCTGTTGGAATCGCTCCATCCAGTACAAATAGAAAACACAACTAGGAATTCTGACAGCACCAGGCGGCTCATGTTCACGACCACCCTACATGCGTCCCCTCTACAATCAGTCAGAGCTGACCTCGACAACCACTTGCTCTCCCTCACGAAGAGCTTGGGTAGACGTTTAATACAGCTTTTACCTACTTGTCTGACGTGCGTCTGCATCGAAAAACTGTGAGTTCAATGCGGTTTTATCGCGGTTTTTACCGCGGTTTCGTGCGGTGTTACCGCGGTCTTGGTCACGGGGTAGCACCAACCGCACCGTGATAAAAAACGGATCATTGGTTCCTTCTGAATCTCCACGGTCCGGCGCGGTGTGGTTTCTCACATAGCGGTGCGGTGCGGTGGGGGCTTTTATTTTCTCCAAACTTGACGGTGCGGTGCGGTGAGCTGTTTCTCATATCGAAATGTGACGGTGCGGTACGGTGCGCACCGCACCGCACCGCACCGTCGGAAAATACCGCACCGTCGGAAAATACCGCACCGTCGGAAAATACCGCACCGTGAACATCCCTGGTTATTTTGGAACAGCTCTCGCTGTAGTGTCGATCCAATATTCTGTATCACGGAATCGCAATCTGCGGTGTCTCCGTCCCCGAACGCCAGAAATTTTCATGTACTTTCTGGACCGCGACAGCGCTGCAAAGTCTGGCCAGAGGCTCCGTGAGGATATAAAAATGGAGACGTGGCCATTTTTTTTCCACGCCCTAAATGCGCTGCCAACTGCTCGCATGTGGAAGGAAGTGGTGTCGATTCGAGGTGACCCTTGCAGACCCATGGCGGGCGACATCGTGTTGATCCAAAATTCTAGATTGTTGCATTGAGTTCTGTGGTTATCCTTCTGCCGTGTGGTGAAGTTCGGACATACTCCAGCTTCGGACCGCGACGGCCTGCAGAAGTTGGCCACCAAGAGAGCTGAAAAACAGGCCTTCCGCAAGAGCAAAAGCGATAGGCATTGTGAAGCAAATCTCAAGCTGAAAGCAGAATCACGGCGTTAAAATCGCTTGTGGCGTAGGTTGGAATTAGGTTGGGCTGGTCTGCCAGTTTCATGGAGATCCATCCGCCGTCTGTGCCAGTGGTACCATTGGTGGCTAACAGGGTGGCCTGGAATGGGCTGTGCAGCAAAAGTTCAGAGAGTTTCGGAAAATTGTGGAGGTAGTTTACAGTAGCCATAATTTTTTTGTTGCATTTTTTTGTATATTCCTGGTCTCTGCTGTGCGTATGTTTATATGTGGACACGAAAAAAAGATCAAGTACGGTGCACGCGTAACAATTTTTCCATCCACCTTTAGTGCGATAAGTCTATTTGTTGCGATGTTTTTTTATAGGCTGTCTTTTTTTCAAAAAATGACAACTGGCCAAATAGCCCCGTGCTACAACGTCTTTTTTTGCTAAAATATGACAACGAAAAAATGACGAACCTTTTTTGACAGCCTATAACACGGGGCTATTTGGCCAGTTGTCATTTTTTGAAAAAAAGACAGCCTAAAAGAAGACATCGTAACAAAAAATATATTTGAAACGCGAAACAACGATATTCGCGATCGCCTCGTCGAACTACGTCGAACTACGTCGATAGCTGCATATATATTTGTTTGTTTTTGAGGAAAATGCAACATGTTTGGGCCAAGTGATCCACGGAAACCCTTAAATCACGATGGTACCCCCTATTTTCCTCCGCGGAACCCCCTACATCACCACGGTTCCCCCCTTCTTCCACTACGGAGCCCCTTATATCATCATGTTGCCCCCCATTGTACGCCACGGTACCCCCATTTCATGCCACGGTGCGCCGGTTGTGAAATTTTCTCGCGTCCACAACTCTTATTCACAACTGACCGCACACTAGAATTATACTTCTACGCAATGCATGACCAAAACACATGTACAGTCTACTCGCATACACAACCCAACAGTCAAAAACTAATACGAAGTATCTACAAAATACTCGGGGGCAGTCAACCCCACGGGAAAAAGAAGACCCAAGACGAAAGTGGTAATGGGAGAGCGCATCACCAGCATCGGGTCGAAGCTCGTGTTGCTGCGTCGGCTTCGGCTTCTGAGAAGCCGCCCGGCCATCGGCTCCGCGACAGTCGATTTTCTTCTTTTAAGGCCGTCCCCTAGGATTCCCCATGGTGCTTGCGTGGGTATTTTGTGTTATGTGGGCTGCAACGTGTGCGAGAGTTGTTTGTGCGTGGTGTGTCGCCCACCGAAGCACAACCACCCATGGTGCGGCACAACATGTCACATATCTCGAAAACCAGATATTTCCCGGCAAAAACGAACAATACCCAACTTGAGACTGATGAGGGGGATCGTTTGCCGCTGTATATTTTGAAATCGGTCTGTTGGTTGTCGCGCTGTAAACGAATCAAGTTGATCCCCTATTTCCAGTTCGAGAATTGACTAAAAAAAAAGACTACCAACCGCAGGATTCCGAAATGTGTCCAAATCCGTTGAGTTCGTTGGCATCGGCAAATAACACCACCCTCTGTAAACGAATCAAGTATTGTGCCAGGGGAAAAAAAGTCAAGGAAAAAAAAAAAAAAAAGTAACGCCATGCGCCTGGAAACGGGCGTTTGCCGGTACTCTCAGAATTCGGAACAACCACCGTGTGTTGTCATATAATAGTTGTGGACCATGACAGGACAATGTTGCTCGGTAAGAGGCTGACGCCTGGCTCATCTGTCGCTGCCATGATTGCCTGCGGCGACGCCTTCAGAATGTGGGGTGTGTAACAACCTCCATGAGGGTGTCGCATTCATTTGTCGTGGCGGGGTCGACGATTGCGACCTTGCCGAGGTGCCGCCAGACCACAACGCCAACTGGCAACTTGCTGCTTGCACCTGGGCTGCTGCAGGCAAAGAAATGACCTCACAGCACATTGGACAGGAAACTATGGCATGTTTTCCCTGTACCCCTTCCCCAACAGTAGTTTGAGTGAAAAAGCAGTCTGTCCCGCCGGACTGAATGTCATGGAGGTGAAACTAAGTGCTGCACCGGCCACCTATTCCGCAGCAGCTGCAGTCTAGACTAGGTGACGCGGATGTATGAATAACCACACGTGTGTTAGGTCAGCTCTGTTAGGTTACCCGCACATGGTCTCACCTACGGCGCAACCCGTCTCACCTACGGCGGTAGTCATGGCAGCCGCTGTGCAGGGCACCGACAGCAGTTTGGGAGTGCTTGCGAGGGTCGAGTGCCTTCGGAGCTGACCCTGGAACCCTGGCCGCTTGAATGGCTGGCAACTCCATCTGCCAGTTTGCAAAGCGGTGGAATAGCGATTACCGGAACGTCGGACCGGTTCGGAACCGGTTCGCGAACCAGTTCCTACTGCTGTAAGTCCGTATCAACCAGCTGGGCAGCTGTGGGTCCAGGAACCGGTTGACACCGGACTCGCTCATGGCGTAGCGTGGCTGCAACCGTATGGTCGTTCTCCAAACAGTAGAGTTGTGAATCGGAACGATGTACACGATATATATCGTCCGATATATATCGATATCGGTATCGAAAATTCGTGCCGATGTTCCGACCGATGTTTTCTTAGGGGCTCCGTGAATCAAATTTAGGGTATGCGCAGCAGTACGGAGCCCCTGTACGCCACACACACACAGCACAGCAGCGCAGAAACAGCAGACAACAGCACCATGTCCAGAACCAACCGGGAAGTAGACACAGGGAGAGACCGAAGGAGGGTACTGCTGAGGATACGCGACAATACATCAATCTTAATCTTTTTTTTTTTTTTCTACATTCCGTGCGATGTTTGCAGCTGAAGTCAAGCCCTTTTTGATGCCGCATTTGGGCCCATTTTGACGGGAAATGAAAGGAAAATGCACCAAATTTTCTGCCTCCGGCGGCGCCTCCGGCGAGGCCCCCTCACCAGCCGGGGGGGGCCGATGGGGGGGCTCGNGGCGATATATCGCAGAAAATATCGTTATATCGGCTGCTGCGCAGCCGATGTAAAATATATCGTTTTTTCGTACCGATTCACAACTCTACCAAACAGGTTTTTCACCACTCTCTCGTCTCTGCTGCAGTGGCGAAGCGGCCCCTATGCCCTTATGCAGGCAGCATGCTTCCCTATTGTCCGCTCTTGGACTCGAGCAGGACGACTCCCAACAGGGCGTCTGTACATTCCCGAAGACATCGAGCGTAGCAGCCTGTGTGTTCTTGCCTCTGCTTTTCCCTCTTTCACCTAGTCGTACATACGATCCTGCGGTTGGACGCTTCGAGAACGGGTCGCTCCCAGGCCAGCGGTGGTTCCTCGGGTTCATCCTTATGAGGTAAGGACGGGAGAGGGCGCTCCGGCGCGTGGATATTGGCCTCTCCGGCTACTTAAGCCCGCGCCCGGCCAGAACGTGTTTCGGCCGTGTCTTTCCGCTCCCCGAAAAGGGGTGATAGGGTTTTGGACGAGGAGTTGCGACGGCCGTTGTTGTTGTTGTTGTTGTTGTTGCTGCTTCAACTTTCAGTACTGTTGTTGTTGATATCTTGCTGTTGCTTGCATAGACTAGACCTATTGCTGTTGTTGTTGCTTATTATTGGCAATGGTTGTGGTGGTTTGTTGCCTTCGTCGTTGTCGGCGGTTTCTTTCTGCGGCGTCGATTCTGACTTGTCGACTCCAGTTGGATGAATAACGCTCGCTCAACGACACAGTCCGTAGGGATGGCTACTTCGGTCACCAGCTATGTAGTTCCACAGAGTATGACATGTGGTCTGGAAGCATCTATGTTGCTGTTGCTGCTACAACTTTCAGTACTGTTGTTGTTGATATCTTGCTGTTGCTTGCATAGACTAGACCTATTGCTGTTGTTGTTGCTTATTATTGGCAATGGTTGTGGTAGTTTGTTGCCTTCGTCGTTGTCGGCGGTTTCTTTCTGCGGCGTCGATTCTGACTTGTCGACTCCAGTTGGATGAATAACGCTCGCTCAACGACACAGTCCGTAGGGATGGCTACTTCGGTCACCAGCTATGTAGTTCCACAGAGTATGACATGTGGTCTGGAAGCATCTAAGAAACATGGACAGCCAGGCCCCTTTCCATTTTGCCTCTGCATGAACATGAAATCGATCAATGAATACGGCACCAAGGGAACCAACCAAGGCAGGTTCAATACGCTTCCCCATAAGAAACTGTAATTGTTTGCGGCCTATGCCACTTATTGATCGGGTGAGATGTTTTGGTGATGTATCAACTTCACGAGAGGTAGACGACCGTCCGTCACACGGACGAAGGAGGGAGTGCTCCACATGGCAGCTCCCACCCCAAGGAGGGGCTCCGTGAATCATCGCGGTGCCCCCTGCCAAACGTCAATCTTACCAATCTCCGTGACACCAAATCATACAGCACATGTATCCAACACCAATGTTCGCAGACCCACGAACACCCTCCCTGGTTCTTCACGCAAGTGACTAACCATCAATGGGGCAAGAACGCCCCTGGATAGATAAAAAAATACCAATATGGTATTACATGGAAGGGAAACCCGGCGTCCGGGCAAAACTCCTCGAAAAAAAGCCACCACCAAAAAAAACGTCGCTATCACAGCGGATCACAACGGCCGCACTTATTAGAAAGGCCAAGGCGAAGACAAGAACGCGAGGAACTACGTTCCCCCGGACGATGGTCTCCCAACGCCCCCTACTCCTGCCATTGGTACACCGCAACAGTTATGCGCCTTTCCCCGAATGGAAAACATGACCTCTCCCAAGTGCTAAAAGCTGCTACAGCTACTCCGGCAAATTCATCAACTTGCGCCGGTGGTCCGGCAGACGGGCCCTGCTAAGGGCCTTGGTTAGGAGGTCCATGTGTTGCTCCGTTGTCCGAACAACATGACCGAAATATCTCCCGACCTAAACAATCCGCGGATGAAATGAAACCTCACGTCGATGTGTTTCGTGCGACCTGAGCTGAGGGGGTTCTACACCAACGCCATGGCCCCCTGGTTGTCCTCAAGGACCTGGATGCTGTTACCACTGGTCTCCGGGGCAACAAACAAAAGCACAGCACGCACAAACAATGCCTCCTTGACGCCCTCCCGGCAGCAATGTATTCGGCTTCCATCGAAGACAAAGACACGATGCTCTGTGTCTTGCTACCATGGCTGACTACGGTACCTCCAACCGTCGTCGCCAACCCTGACACCGAACGCTTATCCTCCGTGTCGGCGTAGCTAGCGTTTACGTACACGGCAAGCCTTAACCCCGATCCCCGTTGGTAGATGATGCCGAGGTCTCTCGTCTTTTTCAAGTTGCCGAGGATCTTCTGGATGGCGTCCCAGTGCCTCTTCGCCGGGGCGTGGGCGGGACGCGCTACCGTACGCACGGCGAACGAGACGTTCGGACGCGAGAACGTCAACACCCACATCATGCTGCCGATGGCCTCCTCACCGGCCACTCCCCTCCCTCCTCGTCATCTCGCTTCGGTCCAATGGGGGATTCACATTGCTCGTGGGACGCCAGAGCCGTCTTGAAGGCGTCTGGCGAGTTGAGCATGAGGTCCACTGCACCCAGCGGGAAGTCCTCCGCCTCTAGGCGCGGAGCATGGGCCTCCTCCGCGCGCTCGAACAGCAACTCTTGCACCACCCTTGCCTCTAGCCCTTCCGCCACGTGAAGTGCACCGCCGAGAGCATCCAGGTGGTGAATTCCTCGGTGCTATTGACGGGCAGGCTCGCCACCGAGGCGAGCAGGGCCCCGGCACTTGTCGGCGACGGGGGTGACTCATACCTCGGGTTTCGGCGAGGGTTCTTCCTGGTGCCGCAGCTAGTGAGTTCCGCCGGCTTGTCCAAGTGGGCGAGCCGCCGGGCCTCTGGCCTGCGGAGCGCCGGGAGATCCGTCTCGCCGTCGCTGTCACTGCCGCTGCCGCTGCAGCTGCCGCTGCCGCTGCCGCCGCTACCGCGGCTGCTGCTGCTGCGGCGATCGTCCTCTCCGCCGCCCACATCGGCCATGCCCTCCGACGTGGTAGATGGGGCGACGCTCGCGCCCTCCCTTCTCCAGGGGGCGCTATCGCCAGCGTCGCCCGCGCCAGACTCCTGGGGCGCGGCCGGCGGTGCCGCCGGCGCTACGCGCGCGGGCGGCCCCGCGGGCCCCGGGGCTGCCGTCGTGCCAATGTTGAAACCTGGTCCTCCATCCCCAGGTTCTCCCTCCGCCCTCCCTTCACCTTGCCTCGACGCGCCCCCCCCGACCTCGTCCTCCTCAGTCGTGAACTCCTCGTCCTCCTCTGTGATAGGAGGCAGCGACTGGGACACGGCGGTGGGCGCGGCGGGCACGGGTTGCCAGGTGAAGTTGCGAGTTGTGATCGCTTGGCGTTTTTCGTTCAGGATGCGCACGCAATCACGGTTGATGTTGATTCCCGGGCCGAGGTAGAAGCACTGTTGGGCTTTCGGCTCGGATTTGTCTGTGCGCTTGACCTTGTTTGCGGCAGGTTTGAGGAACGGGTATGTCGCCCCCGGCGGGGGAGGGTGCCCGTGCCACATCTCGTCCAGAGAGGAAATCGTCCGTACGACTCTTTACTGCTCCGGTCGACGTCTTGTTGGGGATGGGCTTGGGAAGCCCCTTCGCCGTCAAGCCCCAGGCACTCCCGGAGCTCGCCCACCAGCGTCGTCCCTTGCTGCTTCGCCGTGGTCCTCAGCAGCCCCTCGTGGGAGTGGCCGTGCGCGCAGTGGAAATCGTTGATGTCAACGGGGGTGCTGGACGCTTTTGCGTTGCCAGGAGCATTTGCGGCATAGGCATGTTCGAGGTGTGTGCGGAAACCGTTTGGGGCGTACAGTATACCGCATCGGGGGAAGCACACCGACTTCCCCTCCTCTTTTTCCATCTCCAGCTCGTGTATTTCGGGGGTTTTTGTTTTGAACCCGTCGTCGAAGAGGGACGTCAGGGATGTAGTCTAATCGAGGAATGTGTGCAACCGGGTTCGAGAACAGGTCTGTTGTCCCGTCGCGCGAGCTAAGGGTCACAGTGACGTCGCCGCACCTCANAATCGTTGATGTCAACGGGGGTGCTGGACGCTTTTGCGTTGCCAGGAGCATTTGCGGCATAGGCATGTTCGAGGTGTGTGCGGAAACCGTTTGGGGCGTACAGTATACCGCATCGGGGGAAGCACACCGACTTCCCCTCCTCTTTTTCCATCTCCAGCTCGTGTATTTCGGGGGTTTTTGTTTTGAACCCGTCGTCGAAGAGGGACGTCAGGGATGTAGTCTAATCGAGGAATGTGTGCAACCGGGTTCGAGAACAGGTCTGTTGTCCCGTCGCGCGAGCTAAGGGTCACAGTGACGTCGCCGCACCTCACGATGGGGAAAAAGGTTTCTCCGGCGGCGACACGCACACGTCGATCACACTCCTGATATCGGACGAACCCATCTGAGTTCGCGAACATGTGGGTGGTAGCGCCGGTATCGGCAACATACCTCCCCCGCCTAGCCCGCTCTACACACCCTCGACCAACGACTCTGTGACACTCGCCTGAGATGTCACCGACCACCAGCGTCCAGTGCTGTGGCGTCCGCAGACGCCCCCCTCGCCGGCACTTCCGTCACGAGCACCGCATCCTCGGTCGGGCACTTGCTCTTGTCGTGTCCGTAGCCCTTGCATGTCTCGCATCGCACGGGCTCNTCGACCAACGACTCTGTGACACTCGCCTGAGATGTCACCGACCACCAGCGTCCAGTGCTGTGGCGTCCGCAGACGCCCCCCTCGCCGGCACTTCCGTCACGAGCACCGCATCCTCGGTCGGGCACTTGCTCTTGTCGTGTCCGTAGCCCTTGCATGTCTCGCATCGCACGGGCTCGCTCTCGGTGCAGTCGGCCACCTGGTGACCCTTCTTGCCGCACCGGAAGCAGCGAACGCGCATGCTACCCGCACCGCCGTCGCCGCTTCCGCCACCGCCACCAGCCTTCGCGCCACCCCCTCTCCCCTTCTGGTCGCCGCCGCCGCCGCCGCCGCCACCCTTGCGGCGGCTGCTGTTGCTGCGGCCCGGCGCTCTCCTCCGCCGCTACCGTCGTTCGCGAGGAAAGCGTGCTCCGCCCTCCGCTGGCTTTTCAAGGCCTTTCACCCCTCCGGGAGGCTCGCGTGCACCGTGCTCACGATCCTGACGATCTCGGCCCTTTCCAGCGCCGTTGCTGTCTTCATCAGGAACTTCACTTGTTGGTACTCGGGTGGGAGGGAACCATCGAAGTGGGCGAGTACAAAGGGTGCGTCAGCGTTGAGCCCTTTTTCGCGTAGGCGTGAGTATAGCTCGAGCGAGTATAGGTGCTCGATGGGGTTGCTGCTGCTGTGTATTGGGATCGTAAGTTGAACATTTGCCTCGTGAGGGCTTGTTTCGAGCCTTGCGATTCCGGATCGTAGATTTTGTCGAGTTCCGCGAGGATCTCTGTTGCAGTCTCGCATTTATTCACAATCGCCTTGTCGGCTTCTCTGACGATGGCAGTGGTCACCAACTGGAACGCTGGAGGCCCCTCTGGACCTCGTCGCTGGTGTATTGGAGGCGGTACAGCTCTGAGCTTGGCACGTTTGGGTTGCCGACGGGTGCATGTCTCTCGTTGTTGCCGATCAATTGTCCGTCCAGTCCTCAGTTTTGGCTGCTTGGATAAGCGACTTTCTCCACGAGTCATACCAATGGCCGCTACTCTCCCCTTCGAGACGCGGGGCATCGACTGTTGCTCTCTTCATGTGGCTACTGCTGTAGCCGTCGAGGAATTCTATATTTCCTCGAATCACGGGTATCTCACCTGGGAGGGTTAACCTCCTCGCTTCCCTGTAGTCCGGTCATATGCCCGGGCCCACTCCGGCTGGTCTCGCAGGATTCGCTCCCGATCTGCTGGCCCAGCCGCCTTCCAGCAGCTGACGCGGTCCTTGCCCACCATCTCTCGGTTGCTGCTGGGGAAATCGCCCGCCTCCGCCGTGCGACTGCAGGGGCTGTTGGCCTCTGGGGGCGGCAACCCAGCCGCCCCTACTGGCTGCATCCGCCACGACGCTGCCAGGCTCCTTCTTCTTCACCGACTCCTCCACCAGGGCCGCCAATTGCGAAATCTGCAGTTGCAAACTTGCAAGCTCCGTATCGCTGCCGNGCAGGATTCGCTCCCGATCTGCTGGCCCAGCCGCCTTCCAGCAGCTGACGCGGTCCTTGCCCACCATCTCTCGGTTGCTGCTGGGGAAATCGCCCGCCTCCGCCGTGCGACTGCAGGGGCTGTTGGCCTCTGGGGGCGGCAACCCAGCCGCCCCTACTGGCTGCATCCGCCACGACGCTGCCAGGCTCCTTCTTCTTCACCGACTCCTCCACCAGGGCCGCCAATTGCGAAATCTGCAGTTGCAAACTTGCAAGCTCCGTATCGCTGCCGTCCTGCACCGGCGGGCGGATCTGTTCTCCGCTCGCAGCAGTGTGCTCTTCGTCTCCGGCAGAGCTCATCCCAATGTGGCTTCCCTCGAGAAGCAAACTCAACAGTGTTTGCGGCCTATGCCACTTTTTTTTCGGGTGAGACTGTTTTGGTGATGTGTCAACTTCATGAGAGGTAGACGGCCGTCCTTCACACGGACGAAAGAGGGAGTGCTCCACATGGCAGCTCCCACACCAGGGAGGGGCCCCGTGAATCATCGCGATGCCTCCTACCAAACGGCAATCTTACCAATCGGCGTGACACCAAATCATACAGCGCATGCATCCAACACCAATGTTCGCAGACCCACGAACAGTAGCAGATGAAGCACTGTCAATACGTATTCGCCTTTGAGTCTGGGGAATTGTTGCTGATCGTGTGGCACGAGGCACATCATGAGCAACCGGTTATCCTGCCTACAGGAAGGCAGAATAGGAACTCTTTGGCGTCCGCTTTTGGTGCGCCTGATGAAGCTACAATGTTGACATCGCTACATCGATTTCCCCTGGAGGGTGGACAGAGGTGTCGATTCGCCTCGCAGCGGGCCACGATCTATCCCCCCGATCGGATGTGGACGATCCGACAAAGAAGAGAGTGCGGACGATGTGGTCGGGTGTAAGGAAATCAACCCCCTCATGGCCAGAATCATTCCCTGTTCGATGAAAATCCTGGCAATTTTGAAGCAAAGTGGCGAGGTGAAGCTCGCCGTCGATAGGTCAACAGCTCGCATCGACCCTACAGCAGCAACTTGTGGGAAGGGCACAGGTGGGGTATGCCATCCGTCCGTCGGGCTGAAACAGGCGACAAGATGGCTGAGAGCGGCGTAGGAATTGTGCCAAGCACGAAATGAGTGACGAAGGGATGCACGAGGGATCTGTGATTGGTCAGGCGTTGGTGGAGCAGCACAGGCTGTTTCAAGCTTGGCCAGCCATGCAACGATGTGATTTTTATTGTACAACATGCACATCATCAAAAAATGACCACCTGTTCGAGATAGTGCCCCAGCAGGTTCGGTTGTTCGCCACGTGCTGCCCCCAGCTGAAGGCCCACCGGTGCGCTGTTCGCAAAATATTCAGGACCCGGACGTGTTGACGCAGAATCGAGGGTTTGGCGCTTGTACACATCGGGCGCCTACAAATTATTTAGCTGGATATGCAGAACATCGATCGGTGCCATTGGAGGTTTGATTCTAGCTATGTGGAGGATGACGCAGGTAGATCAAGGCAGACTCTAAAATAGCTTGTGCCTTCCGAGGTATCCGGAATGGATTGGGAGTTGGAGGAACATCAATAGTGCCGGTGCCACTGAGGGGGTGCAGGGATTGGACGGGGAGGGGGCCGCACAATTGTCGCTGTTGTATTGTACGAGTTGGCGTGACGCCGTGCCGTGTGCGTTGACCTTGCCATGTTGGTTCCGGGTCGTTTCTAGGAAGGGTTGGGATTGCTCAGTTTTGGAACGACTGGGGGAAGCTTGTTGTGGAGTTCTGCTGCTTCTCAGACGACATTTTCATTGGTTGGAGCTTGTGGGGAGTTGGGCCCCACTATTATGGGTGTGGTTGGGGTGTCCACGTATAGCACGTTCGCGCGCCCGAAAAGCAACCATGTTAACACATTGGTCAGAATATTCGATTCTTGTTTGCATGGCGGATGCCACTGGCCGATCAATACCGTCGACATGAAATATTTTGGTGGAGTATAGTCATGACGTCTGAGCTAAGAATTTGTATCACCCTACCGTCGCGCCTCGATGTTGGCAGCCAACAGAATAACTCACGAAAGGGCATGGCCCTTGCGGGCATGCCGTTGGAGTAAACAACTATTAAACGAAGCGATGCATTATACCAAAAGAAACAGCCTACGGCAAGTACCGGTGCCCGAAAAAGCACCGGACATTGATGGGGGCCTAGCCCATTACTCCTGGTGGTGATAGTGTTCCGCTGTTAGTCTTGGTTGGCATGGTGGCGAACAATTTTTATGGTGAGATGTGTCGTTCGAGCAGTGTCCGCGAAAGCAGAGAGCGAGAGGCGCAAGCCACAGGGGGGGGAGGGCGTCTCAATATCGGAGGTTTTGAGGTTTTGATCCAGCCAAGAGTTGACGAAGTAGGCCCCACAAGTGGTCGTACGTTTATGGGGGATATGAGGAGAACGGGATGCAGAGGCATTGTCCCGCAATGGTAACAACGGGAACAGATGAAATCGACCAGCGAATCGTCTTCTTGTAATTGTGGTGGTTGAAAGAAGGAAAAGGTAGGCAATTTGTGAACACAGCGGTTGTAGCGGCAGTAGTCTATCGCCGACAAGCGCAGAAACAGTATTCGCTGGCGTATGGCCATTTCTTCCCTGGAGAGGCGAGGTGAGTTTTTTTTAGCCCAGGTGATCGGGGAGGAGGGGCGTTTACAGTGCGTGGGCGACTCAAAGACGGCAGGCGACCGTTGTTATCGTACGCAAATATACCATATAAACTCCGAATATGCTTGTATCTGCCAGCGTGCCAATGAAATTTCCGGATAGTCGAAGGCGCCCGAAACTCCACGACTACCCATGCTAAGCAATTTTGCAGGACAGCCTGGAACGCCCGGTGGGCAAAGGTGCCTCCCAACGGCCTTTCGGATGCCATGCCGGGAAGGGGTCAAGACGTCTTTCGTTGCAGGAAGAGCAAGACGAAGAGGCGTCTTCAATCTCTCAAGAAGCCACCGTGGATCATTGGCCAGCAACGGGTGACGCCACCCTCAGCGATTGCTGCCAATGAAACAAGCAAATCCCACCTAAGGCGATCGGGAGGAAAGAAGCCCATGCTGACCTCGCAATCATCAAATGGAAGAACCGTACCTCTTTTCACGTAGGCCCGGAGGAAGGAGTCCTTCAAAACGTCTGAACAGACCATCTGCTTCACACTGGTCATCTGTTTCGAACTCGTGCGTCGACAACCAGTAAAATTGTTTCAATGGTCAATGGAGAATCGCGGCTCCATCTGAAGCCCTTCACTACCCAGCGACGTAGCTAAACACAACGATGACAACGACCCATCTTCTCAAAATTTCCCAATGGGTTGCGTTAGCCTAGCTTCGAACCCACTGTTACACCCAGGCCCTTTGAGCTTACCGTCTCGTCTGAAAGACCTTTGGTTGTCCGCCCACATGGCGTGTCGAGCATCACGTTGCGGTCACTCGAAAAAATCAGCCACGTATACATGCCTAATGACATGTTCGGAAGCAAACACGTGCCTTCCCTCCCGCCCTCCACACACATATCATCTGGCGTTTTTCGTCCCTCGGCGAAAATGAATACAATAGACAATACCACGTACTTTTGCAGTTGGGCTGTGGTTTTCAGGGCAACACGGTCTGCATCGTGCGCTGCAAAGTACAGCCTTCGGCGATAACTTCCAGCCGAGTGTGCACCCCTCCTGCACCCACGTCTGATAGTTGAAGGAACAGGAAAAATCATTACAGCTTACGATGGTTCGGCTCTTGCCTTGATAACATGCCGACCCTGCGCCAGACCTTCTGAAGCTCTACGTACACCTCTCTATCGTCGGTGTAGGAAATATCGCAACTCCTGCAACGCTCCGCGGCAGGAAACTGATCTATGCAGCGCAATGGCTGCCCCAGGCCTTCCCCACGACCTTGTACTGGTCCCTACGTTATTGATGCCACGAGCGAGCGCGTGTCATGCAAGTAGAAGCAAAGGCACTAGAGAGGACCGCCAACTAGACACGATTTGACCCTTCGGCCATCCTCGCTTACAGCGGTGGGGGTGTTAAGCAAGAAAGAGATTAAAAATCGTAGGCGCCTCTCTACTGTCGGAGTTTCTATTCTAGACTATTTGCTGAACCCAAAGCCCGCACAACCAAAGCCGTTCGTCGACAGCAGTCAAAGCAGACTGCGTCCGTTACGAGTCACACTTCGTAGCGAGGCCGGCCATACAACTCGAGCGACGGACTGGTGAGAAAAAAAAACGAATGGTAACTGCTGCATGGAGGCCGGCCACACGACTCCGACGATAGGCTGTTTGAAGCAAGATCCAAACGATGATTGTTGCAGGGAGGCCGGCCGCACCACATCAACAATCGGCTGGTTGAATGTGGAACCAAACGAAAGCCGTAGCAAGGAGGCCGGCCACGCGACTCCGACGACGGGCTAGTAAAACAGAATCCTGACGGCAATTATTGCAGGGAGGTGGCCAAACGACTGGGACTATGGGCTGGCTGAACTTACCCCAAAACGATAGCTGCAGAAGAGAGGCTCGCCAAACGACATCGACGATAGGTTGATTGAAGCAACTCCCAAACGATAGCTGTCGCAGGGAGGCCGGCCAAACGGCTCCGACATCAGGATGGTTGAATGCATTCTCAAACCATAGCCGCTGCAGGGAAAGTGGCCACACAACCTCGACTGTGGCCTGGTTGGATTTTGAACCAAACGATAGATGCTGCAGGGAGGCTGGCCACACAACTCCGACGATGGGCTGGTTGAACGCACGACCGAACGATAGCTGCTGCAGGGAGAGAGGCCACGCGACTCCGACGATGGGTTGGTCGAGGTAATCCCCAAACGACAGCTGCTGGAGGGAGGCAGGCCATGCCACCGAGTTCACGGACTCACCTGAAGAAAGCACCAACCGTCTACGCTTTTGAAACCAACCTACACATCCTCGGCGTGCTGCAGATGAAGGTCCCGCTGGCCGACGATTTTGTGGCGCTGGGCGCAGCTCAGTGGCAGACCTCGGCAGCAGAATCTCCGCCGGAAGTTCCCACGTACAACCAACAGCTTACCCAGCCGGCACTCGACTCGAGATGCAAACTTATCGACCGCGTTATTGGGTGCGGTGTTTGACTTGTGAGGAGACCACATGGTAAGCGGCGTTTCTCGATGGATACGCATGTCCAAGCTCAGGACACTTCTGCACGCCCCACAAACGCCAGCGACTCAAGCTGTAGCTCCAGCGTAGATGCATACCAACGCTTTGCTCGCCTATCGCAAGCGTGGTTCAATGCCACTATGAAGGCTTCCAGGCAGTCGCACCTTCCTGCGATCAGGTAGACATACACGTAGGTATGTACCAACAGAACGTTGTAGGACTTGGGACT